GCTTCCCCGGTCTCCACATAAACCAAGTGATCGCTCGCACGATCGTGCCCAGCCGATAACCTCCACACCGCGTATCAAAATCGTACCGACGATAGAATCGTTGGAGAACGTTTTCGAAACGACGGAAGACTCGCTAGCGACGAAGGTTCAAAATCAGCTGCAAACGTCGGAAGGTCAAGAGGTGTTACGAGCTGGCTTGGGTCCGCTGGGGCAAAAGTACGTCGAGGCTGTCGACGTCCCTGAGGGGAGTGCAAGATAAAGAGAGCGGTATAGATCACGTGTACGGCGTTTATCTACACAAGGACTGATGTTTGGCAATAAACGTTTCGACGTGGATGACGCGGACAACATAATTATCGACGGCGTACGATACACCGGTACTCCTGATCTTTACGAGTTGATTTTCAAGAGAATTCCCGACGATACCCTCTACAGGGAAGACGATATGCACAAGTACAAGAGCATGCTGTTGGTGATGAACGCGCACAAACACAAGTACCATTCGCAGGGTCGATTATTGAGCAACAGAGGATACAAGTACAAACATGTAATTGCGCCGTTGATGTCGATCATATCCAAGAAACAGAAGAAGAAATCTGAGAAGAAGAGGAAAGGGATTACCTCATGCAATGACATTGAACGACAACGCGATCGATTACGCGCACTGGGATGATCCCAACGAGCTGGTGGATCGTCTACAATTGTTCGATGCTTCACACCGAGCAGCCAACAACGCTCACGACAACGAGATGCTGTCGATCATCGAGGAACTTCGCGAAGCTGGTCTTATTATAAATTAAATCGCGTATCCATGAAACGATTCAGTCGAGTAACATCAGCGAGAAAAAATATATTATTTTCTCGTACTCAGTGTATTACGCGTCGAATCATGAAAAAGAAATCTGAGAAAAAGGGAGAGAAAATTTGCTCCGAGAGACGTCGACTCGTCGAGAAATTGCACGCTCCTGCGAGAAGAAATTTTCGATATGTACACGATATCCGAATCGAAAATCGCTCGCATACGATGATAAGCGTTACGTCGTACCGGACTCGACGGAGACGTTATCGTGGGGTCATTGGCGGATACCTTTGTAATATGTGTGTGTGAGTTGTGTGTGTGTGTGTGTGTGTATCAACATTTATATTACTATTACATTTTTTTATATTTTCATACAGAATGTATGTATTATTATTATGCTATATGTATTATCTTATTATATAATTGGTGTATTTATTTTCTACATTTTTAAATATTTTCATATAGTGTACATGTTACTATTATCATTATATTTTACAATGCATTTTTTTTTACATTTATATAAGTATTACTATTACGTTTTATGTAGTACCATTTATTATGTATTACTATTATTTTCATTTCATGTATCGTACATTTATATACATATTTTATATCTGTATACTGCAAAACGAAGATGAATAGGAAGTAATAACAAATATACGTTTATATATTGGGAGTACAAATTAGTTCAGTTCGTTTTCCAAAAGATAGTTCCGGCTGTTGTGAATGGTTCATAGTGACAACTGATTTTGGCGTTTTCAGAGAGGTTAGACATCTGCTAATAATATTCAGTTTATATCGCTTTGAGTTTCATACAAAAACCTTGTTTTTACTGTGTTGAAATGTCGAATTTTATGTTAACCAAGCAGCATTTGCGGGAGGTTCTAATTTTCTGTTTTAATTGGAAAAAAAGTGCAGCTGAAGCCCATCGAATGCTTGTCGAAGTTTATGGTGACATTGTTCCAACTGATAAATCATATAGGGAATGGTTTCGATGTTTCAAGGATGGAGATTTCAGCGTTGAAAACAAGCCTCGCTCTGGACAGCCAAAAAAATTCGAAGACAAAGAATTAGAGACATTACTCGAAGAAGATCAGAGTCAAACGCAAGAGGAGCTTGCAGAATCATTGGGAGTAACTCAACAAGCTGTTTCTGCACGATTGAGA